CTAAACGCCATCCATCATATCGCCAGGGCCTATAGTGGCACCCCTCACGACGAAACCTTGGATGACGTGCGGATCAAATTCGCAAACATTAGTCTTATGCGGTCTCTCTGGGCTGACAAGGACCCGGCTATCCGCGTCACATCACGTTCCATATGCGCCTTGCTTGCGAGACCCATCCTGCACAAATATCCGCCTCGCGACTCAGAGCTAGCTTGGCTGCAAGACGTCCTAGGAGAGACGTCAAATACGATCTACAACTCTCTCCAAAATCCCCGCACCGTGAACAACATGAACATCGACTCATTTGTTTATAGCGTCCTTTCAGATCCGACGGGCGACCTTCCAGCTGCGCAGGCGACCTCTTTCGTGGACACGCTAGCAATTCTCATGAGTGCGGCAGGAAGCCAGACGGCCATCCGCAGAAATTCGTTCGAGGGAGGGTTTTCTGAGCTCCTTCGACGGGCAGAAAATGATGACCATCTACGAGAAGTAGCAGTCAAACTCCGCAGGATCTTCGAAGCCATGTTCCATTCTGCGGCACCAAAACCGTCAACATATCATAGATAAGTCCAAAACAAAGAGAAATTGTAAAAATCAAACCATCGTATTGGGATGTATTTTCTACTGTCGTATCACCTTCCCACATGATGCAGGACTATGGTTCGTTAGTGCAAAGTGACCTGTTTATGACGCTCCAAATGAACGATTGAAATGGATTGGATCGAAGATGCTGTACAATATCTGTCTTATTTAGATCATGCTCTACATGTAACTACTCATGGTATCGCGCTGGACGCTGAATGCGACGCGATTTTGGAATTGAATAGCTCACACTCACGATTTAGAGGATAATTACGCTTGTATAAACACAATCAACATTGAGCTTCTTTGGACGGAGGCGTTCCAAATATACTATGATTATGGGTGTGATACAAAACTGAAGCCGTATCGGGCTGTAAACATGCCTTGCTCTGAATTACCGTCACAGTTGCGACCCACGTGCCAGAACCAACCAAGGAACCAATAGTGAGGGCGAGTAACTCAGGGTTTGAGGAATATGGCTTTAGAGATGATTCCTGTATCCTTGGAGATGTCGGCATGTGCTGGGGCTTGAAAAGTCTGTCATCACCGACGGTGGTATCATGCCAGTGACGTGACGTCGTTCTGACTCTGGATGCGATTTGGACGAATGGCCGCTTTCAGGAGTAGCCACCGTGAATACTGTAGTGGGCGGAGCTCGAATAAAGGTTCGCACGACCGACATTACCGTGACAACCGAATTGCCAATCGGCAGAGACACACGTTCGGAATGCTCAGACTTGTGAAATGACCACCTCTTTCAACAAGCACATTGACGGTCGAGATGCGCAAGCGGAGGATCTGGAGCGCGCGCGCTAAGCATACAGCTATTTGTTGGTCCTCGAGGCTACAATGTTGTGGATCTCACCTGCTGGAGCATCGCCCTCTAGAATAATATCATGGATGTCGAGAAGCGTCGAGGTGCCTACCTGGAGGCAAGTCAGTGTTGTCACGACCCGGGTCTGACGGGGTCAGACCTTGACCTGCCGTCGGGGGGCTTGACTTTTCTCACGGGTCAGGATCAGCTGATCATCGGTCAAGGGTTGTGGGAAAACCTTTATTTGGAAAGTCGGTGGGGCCGTGCCGGTTCGGTCCGCTTGTGCCGAAATACTTTTCAATACGGTGTGAATATATTTCCAAAATTGGTCCGACCCTCGCATTGCCCTCTGAATCATGTGATCTTTGACCTTTGACGAAGTCACTGACTTGACGTGACCTCGGTGACTGTGACTGTCGTGACCCCGAGTCAAGCGTCAGTGTACAACACTGGAGGCAAGCACCCTGTATACTTCAGTTATCCCTGGTGCCTCCTGCGCAACTCGATCATTACTCCCGAATCAGGTTCATATGCCTGAGTGCTGATTCATGTCAGTGCCAGTGGGCTTCCCCACTGGCATCCATATCCTCCGATTTTTTTACTGTGATTTTTTCCCCCTTCGCCTATATTGCGTTTCGATGGAACGCACACATACCATCACAGCGCAGCAGAGGATTATTTGCAAACAGAGCATTCGTCCAGATTCCTTCTGATTGGTAGCGCCTAACGTCGTGTAGACGAGTTCAGCTCCAACGCTCGGCAGCCACTGGCACTAGAAGGGGTCTTTGTTCCTTCGCTTCTTCCATACACGAGTAGTTGTTACCGAACTAACTTATCCAAGACTCCTGGATACTCCGCGCTTCGCTGGACTGACCCCTGTTCAACAACCGAGGCTCCAAAAGAGAACTTGGTCGACATGATGCTCTGGAAATCCAGTCACCTCTTAGGGTCAGTCCCTTTACAGTATTCCCATCCTATTACAGTCGAGTTTCACACCGTCTCCGATTGCTACAATTGGACTAATTGTATTTCAGGTATTCACATCGGACACAAACCGCTGAGTCCCAAAAGGAATGCGGTACGCAATGCTGTTGCAACGTGCAGGGCGTCTCGACTATTGAGACAACCCACCGCCGGAATTTGACCGCCGATAAGGCTACAGGCTGTATACTTCAAAGCCTCGAGGTCACAATGTTTCAGATTCAGAAGCCGAATCAAACCCTCCAAAACGCCTGGGCGCCATACAAATAGCGCGCATATAGCACCTGCGGAAAGTGATATCAAGCAGAAGTGCCGCTAGCTTCCCTCGCAAAGCTGAGAATTTTCGACTCCAAATTACGTTGTTTAACGAATGGCTGCCTCATATTCGCAAGTACCAAGGGAGGATGTTTTTGAGATGCCGAATATCCCAGAAGGAAGTGTGTACCGTAGTCTCATGGCTCGCGCCTTGTCTCACGATATTGTAACATTGTTAGTCCCACCTTCCGGCGATCCTTCCGACAAGATGTGGTTGATGTATCTGTCCGAAGCGGAAAAACACGATAAAGACATTTCCGATGCCTGGAAAGACGACGCGAACGGAGTCCTCGTGTTTGTTCGTATCTCTCCATCGATCGTCGACCTCTCCCTAACGAATAAGCTCAAAAGACTGGTCTTTTCTCGGCCACTGTTGGAGCATTTATCATCGCAAGCTATCCAATGCTGTCTCCTGACTCAGGCGATCAAACCGTGTTCTTACTCCAGCAAATCTCACAACAGCTTTCTGGTCTCTCAAACGGCACGGACGTCAGACCGCAAGAATACCCGTCGTTCTCGCCTAGCACATCGATTGTCTGCGTGAATGCCATGTGGATTTTGAGCCTCATAGTCAGCATAGCATGCGCATTGCTTGCTACGTTGATGCAACAATGGGCCCGACAATACATTCAACTCCCACAGCTCCGCACGATCCCTCGCGAACGGGCCCACGTCCGGTCTTTCCTTTTCTTTGGCCTGAAACAGTTCGGAATGTCCTATGCGGTGGAGTCGATCCACACACTCCTACACATCTCAGTATTCTTATTTTTCGTCGGCTTGGTCATCTTCCTCTTCACAATCTTCACGACGGTTGCCATCATCATTTCCATCTCAGTCGGGATCTTTTCCATCGCGTATATCGCACTAACCATCCTTCCCTGCATATACCTCAACTGTCCATATCGCACCCCATTCTCCAACCTCTCGTGGTCTGTGTGGCACACCGTGATGCGCCACATCATGGCACTCATTCTCTGGGTCGAGGCAATGTTCCATGCTTCGGGCCATCTTATCCAGTGGAGGAAGAAATTCGAACGTCACACGCAAGAACATGATTTACGACGCAAGTCTGGGTTGAGAAGGAGCGTCGCAAACGGAGCGCAAAGTGCTCCAGAGTGTCAGGAGCTACAAGCATTCAACTGGTTTCTTCAGGTCCCGGCACTCAGTGAAGATAGCACATTCCAGGATTTCGTTTCCACACTCACGGATGACGCGATTCAAAAAATGTTACAACCTTCCAATTCGCAATCCAGTACCTCCTTCGGCAGCCGTCTCCACGACTTGCTTTGGACGTGCCTCCCCGATACCACCGGTCTCACGGGAGATGCCAGGAGGCATCGCCTGCTCACCTGCCTCGATGCCATCTATAGAGGCTTCAGGGCATACAACGTGGATGAATCGAACGAGTCCATTCCGGACAACATTCGTGTCAACTTTGCTGAGCTCGGGGTCATGCGTGCTCTCTGGTCGGACGAAGACACTGCAGTCAGGGTCAGAGCACGCTGTATCTGCGCGCTGTTGGCAAGACGGACCTTACGCGACATAGGAGGGCCGACTCCCCGGCGTTACCCGACGGATGCAGACATTTCTTGGCTAGAAGCTGTGTTTGGCGAGTCCGGACCATCGTCAAACGACATATACAACTCTTTGCAAGACCTCAAAGCGCTGGACTCCATGAACGTAAATTCATTTGTGCGCGCGGTCGAGGCGCCGCTTTTGGCAAGGAGGCTGACGAACAAAGAAATTACATCTATTTTGGATACGCTCACCATTCTGATGGACGCAAACGACACCTCGCGCAGGAACAGTTTTCAAGAACGGATTTGGGTATTGGTACAAAGAGCGGAAACTAGTGGCTGTCTCCAACAACTCGTTTCGCCTTTACTTGATCATCTTCGTCAAGCGTTTCCCACTGACGTGGGTGCAGCACCCATACCCATGCCTGTGCCTCACTCACGCTCCTAGGAATGTGCCCTTGTCTTGATATTTCCTTACTGTAATGCTACTGCGACATTTATGTGCGAGTGTTCACTGTGTAGGATTAATCGTTGTAGCTCAGGTTGTGATACGACCATTGCTTTTCAATAAACCGTATTTTGAGATAAAAACCCTTGACATGCTGAGAACACAGATTGAAAAGTTTCGAGGGGCTCACACACCAATTTGGGACCAGGTGATGCAGAATATGTAAGTACTATTCAAAAAAACTATCCCGGGCTTAGTGAACTTTCAGGCAACTTTCAGGCTCCATCAGGTTATGGGCCCTGAAAGCTCTCACAGAACCTATAACCTGTTGGAGCCTACAAAGTGACCCAACCTGGGCTTGAACCCAGGACCCCTGGGATATATACCAAGTATTCTCCAACTGAGCTACCCAGCCATGGAATGAGTTTTCACAGCAAATTGTATTCTTAACTCTGGAGTCTGGATTTCATCCTTGGAATTGAACTGCAGGGCTGACAGAAAGGCAGATCACACTTCATCATTCACAATGGTGCATACGGAGTATCCCCAATTCCTTTGCCCAATTCTGTGCAATCGGGTGAGCAAATGAGTACAGGCAAGGCTCTCCCACGCCACCACGAGTTCGAAGCTCTGCGCCACAACGTCGCTTCGCTTGACCAATCTTGCCCACTCTCGACGAAGAGAAGCAACACGAATCTCACCGCCATTTGGGTCATATATATACCCTTTCATGCGCAGAAGTTTCCCAACGACACCACAAGCCAATGCCAATGAGTCTAAATGTCTCAAACAAGTACAGACGGTCTGTGCGACACAGGGTCCAATGAAGATGTTTCATCGAAATGAATGAACAACTGTCCCCTGTATCCAGCACCCTCGCAGTTCCGTATTACGGCTATTTTCCCTCAAGACGTACCCAGCTTACCGTTCGGAAGTCGAAAAGGATATCTCGGCGACGGCCGAAGAGAGGACGAAGTTCATTCCTTCAAGCTTCAACTCCCGTTGAGTATGTCTAACTCTAACGATGCTGGGGGAAATATAGGCCCTTTTCTGAAATGGTCGTCGTTTTTATCATCGAGAGTAATTGGATATTTCTCTCCCCACGCCGACACCGGCGTTGCCAACGTTCTGACTGTCTTCATTCCCCACTGACGCCATCGCCTAGTACGTCCACAAATATTATTTAGTAAACTTTCTATCTCTCACCAATGCCATACTATTCACTATTGTTTCTAGCCTCACCCTGTGCGTTTCCATGCACACTGGCATTCTTCGCGAATTTTGTCTGAATTGTCTCCAATGGGCGCCAATTTATTCTCCGTTGTCGTCCCGCAACTACGCATGATCTGCTCTTTCGAACCAGTCTCATGGTGTTTCACCTCTTTGCATCGCTATCTCGTTGACACAGCCAGTCCTCTTCTTCGCTCTCTCCACAGCCGCTGTATAGGACACCGACCCTGCCTCGACTCGAAACTTACTGGCATATACCTTTAGTACCGTCATATTCCCTAACTTGGCTTGCCGCTGCCATAGACTTTCCCTGGATTATCGCCATTAATTGGCCGTGCCTGAAGTGATCTACAAATACAGAGTAAGATCTGCCATTCCATTGGTTGGGATGGTATCGCATCACGTGTTCCCCATCGACATCGATGCGGGGCACGCAGATTAGCGGATAAGGAAATTCTCTGGCGTTTCGGCGATCTGCACTGGGGTTCTTCAACAAGTTAGTTCCTAGTTTGCGCGCATCCTCCCTGACGTGCTAATCCTTTAAGTTACGAACTCGCGCCCAACCTTGCGCCCCCCGTTGAGTTAACTGACCAATGACGACGACGATTTCCCACATCATCCCACATCTCACCGCTCGACCAATCAGATCTGTTCGATTTAGAGTGCGAGCGCGTGTACTATATCATACTGAATTATCTTGATCGACATATCAGAGCCTATCCGCCGCCGCCCACTGAATGGTTGTATTGTACTTGTACGCAATACGTAGCACTACATCACATTGACACCACACATACGTTCTATGAATCGCATCAGGTTCGTGATCAGCCTGTATATGAAATGTTGGGCATGCATAGATGGTCACCGGTCTACAATCACATAGGGATTCCGACTGATTCACGCACCATGACATCATGATCGCCACCGTCGTTCTCACTTCTGCCAGGTCCCAGGAACTGAGGACTACGCCTACAATACTCTAGCACTGGTCAGATTTGATGTAGTTGCCTGGGGCTGATTCTTTATTTTGTGTGTGTTTTTTTTTGGTAGATAGACCACTGATGGACCATGGGCCACATGGGGTAAACACGATACGTGGACAACCTGAGACCATCACGGTCCATGTCAACGTGGGAGTGGGAAGCGAATTACTGCGCGCGCACAGCACGTGCATTATCACCAACCGCAAAAAAAGACGACGGGATAATAACTAGTTGCTTTCAAATGTAGGAAGTACGCCTTGGGCTCCACTTCGACTCAACAGGCGAGCTACAGTATCGCGGCCACTCTCCTCTCGGTATAGTTCAGTGTAGAGATAAAGACACGCGTGCCTTTGAGCGCCACTCTCGCAGGGACGGAGGTACTACTTGCAACCTAATGGAGGTCTCCGTTTTGCAACGTGCACAAGTGGCCATCGTGAAACAGTTCTGCGTTGAGTCAGGCTGGCTATACACAAGCCTTCTCCGCAATTCTAAGGGGCACAAAACAGAACGATCCTCCACGTGTTGGATAGCAACCCACAACCCTGATTGTGCACGACGTGTTCTCGTTTCGGAACAACCATATTTCAGATCCAGGTCTGTCAGCAACGGAGAAAATAAAACTGATCGACGCGCGTTTAGAGAAGGAGTGGGCGCTGGCGGAAAGCGCAAATGTATTGTATGAGCAGGGATTGCGGACAAACGAGTCATTATGTCGTGTGTAGATCTAGCGTATACTACGTAATTTTGGGTGGGTGAGCGTAAACGGTGCAAGGTAAGTTACGAGTTGTTTAGGCGTCACGAAGTTCTTGACTTGGCCCAACCACCAACGTATTCCTAGCAGTCGCACAAAGCAATCAGCACACGAAAGCGGACAAAATGACAACGTTGCGCATACCTTTTGCTCTTTGTACTGTGCGTACTCAGGGACGAAGAATGCGAGGCTCTCGTTGATACCGCGCTCCCTGAGGAACTTCTCAAACTCCTCCTGAAGACTGAGGTCTAGCGTCTCGAACTGATGTAAGTAATAAAGTCATTCAGTGTAACGTCCATGTGACGGCGGGAGCGAGTGGACGCACCTGAGGGCCAATGTAGAGTCCGCGGCGCTTCCAGTCGGCCTCAGCGGTAAGGTCCGTCGCGAGCTTGGAGTCGTTGTAGAAGACACGTTCTCGACGATGAACGCACCCTCTTGGCACACCGCATCGATGCTCAGCGCGCCAGGTACAGAAGACTGTGACACGCGCGCAGAACATGTTTCAAAACGATACAACGGTATAAAGCGCACGGGAATCGCATACCTTGGTAACGGTGAGCGAACAGCGGAGCGGGTAGGACCCCTCGGTGTCCTCAGACGAACCCTCTTCACCCTCAGGTGGCTCCAAGTTGTCCTCGGCGTTCTGAAGGTCTGCAATGGAGAATATCAAGCGGATGCTGTCGTACACACACAAAAGCTCAGTTTACAACTATGCCACATCTAGTGCGTGCGATAGACATACTGCTCATTGCCAAATTTGCGGTGGATGGTGACTTCGTCATTGCCGGGCTTGTCCTCGAGCTGGGAAGAAGAAGGGGGGGAAAGCCCACGTCAGTTGCTTCTAGACGAAAAAACGAAAAATAAAAGAGGTATACCGTCCAGATGCCAGCGGTCTTGAACTCCTTGAGAAACTCCGGCTCTTCTGCAATCGCGGCTTCCTTCTCATATGCCAGCTCTTCCGCAATCTTCGCAGACACGTCACCGTCAGCTGTGATACACACAACTCGTAAGAGAACCAAGAAACATGGGAATTAGTACGCACTGGTGCCCTCACCAAAGCGGCGCGCAGACACCGAGAATGGTGCACGCGCTGCTGGCACGACAGAGGTGATTTGCGAAAACGCGGGGACACGTGCACGCGTTGAAACGAGAGAAGAGCGTAGAGAGAGAGCACATGAAGATGGTGCGGCGAACTGACGAACGACACGGAGGACAGACATGACAATTTGCAGGATGAGCGTTGGACGGCGACAGCAAAACGAGGGAATAGACGCCGGAGCAAGGAACGGAGAAAGGGACATCTCGGGTATTGCCGTCGGTCTTTTCGGAGGTTACCGGGACGACGTAAACACATAGCGGTGATGTCAAACACCCTCTTGCTTGGGGAAGTTTAAATGACAGGCTTGGGAAGACTGGGTATGTACAATCTGTAAGGACCACTGGTACCTCCGTCGACGTCTGCAACAACGGTATAAATATAAGAACACGACTTGGGCGTGTAATTGCGAGACGGGGATAGCAACACAAGACAGGGAAACGTAACGACGAAGAAAAATATGTATAACTCGAGACGTAGACAATCCATATACACTAACGCGTACAGTACGACAACCACCATTCGTGATCATTAAACCACCACACGCGGACCTTGGGTGGCACCCGCGTAGTGGTCGGAGACTGACGAACAGAGAGCCGCCGTCGAAAGAGGCAAGAAATGTAGATCCATGAGAGGGAATGAGAACCAGAAAAGCACAAAATTCGGATGACAACAGTTCAATTTCTCAGCGCAGGAACAAAAAAAACAATTTGACAATGATATTGGTAGGCTGGACAGCCCCCGCCTAAACGTTCACGCAGCAGCGATGACTGGAGGAAGCGGCTCGGCATCCACGGCTCTTATGGCTTGGTTGTGGATCACGGGGCTGCCGCGATCATCCTGCGAGTCATCTGATGGAGGAACGGAGGTCGAGGTTGAGGCGGCGGTTACCACCACCTCGCTGGCCATATTGGCGACACTCTTGGATTTTCTAGGTTTTTTTCCGGACTTTGATGCGTCATCCTCACCGCCCATCCGTCTTTTCTTCTTCTTTCCACGCTCCGTAAGAGGATGCTCATCATCTGAAGTGACCATCTGGTTGTTGGCGGTTTGATCCGTGGAGGGCGTTTGGGGAGGCACCTGGCCAGGCGGGGCGGGCATAGGTCCGTAAGCCCCTGGGTGGGGAGGGTATATGGCCATGGCAGGGTAACCAGGGTGAATTGGATAATAGGCGGGCTGGTGCTGCGGTTGCCCGTCGCCATTAGGGTGGCCATCTGGAGGCGGGACGTAACCAGGCGGGGGAGGATAATACGGGTATGGCCAGTATCCCTCTGGAGGGAGGTACTGGGGCGGCATCGCTGCCGCTGCTGAGGGGGGAACGCCATTCGCCTGGTCCGACGGACCAGACCACGAAC